TGCAAAACTAAGAATGGACTCAACCAACTGAACATTATGCATTTATTTACTGTTGTATGGAGACCAGAGACCTATACAGAAATTACTAACAGGGCTACCTAGACTCTGTTTGTCATTGTGAATGCTAGCATCACCTGACAGTTGAATGTGCACTCTCAGCCCTCCGTAGAGACATTAAAAAGCCCTTGCAGAAACCCTAGTGATATTTTGAAACACTTTCACATTCTTCAGATCCTTAGTTGAGAATCTGAAGTGTATAAAGTGTTCTAGTGTGTGTGTGTGTGTGTGTGTGTGTGTGTGTATTTATATTTTGATTTTGGATATTTTTTGTGTCTATTGGATCTCTAAGGGAGTGTTACATAAGGAATAAATAGTGAATGGGCCTGATTATATGTTAGAGCTGCCAAACTGATAATCATTTGTAGAAAGACAAACCCTAGAACTTTGGCTTGAATCCCTACCACATCTTTACAGACACACACTATACCTTACCCACCTGTGAAGGTGCCTTTGTTTAGCTCACTTTCCAGGTAATATGACTATAGGATTACTAGTCACATGGTCTGTTGTAGTCTTTGTTGGTTGGGAAACCTGAGCCACCATCCATCTGCACACTCAGCTGGCTGATCAACAAGCCCTTCTCTGTTTATTTCATAGGTTTGCTTATATCCAAACCACATCATTCCTTATAGGACAACTCCTACATATAAAGTTTCACTACAATTTAGGTCTTTTCACTTACCTCAGGGTACAAGGTAGAAATTTAGTTTCAAGATAACATTGACCATTATATGTAATTTCTGGTAAGTCTGAATCAATAAATTAAAGGATTTAGTAGGGCCTTCACAAAAATTAAAGGGTGAAATATCAACACTCAATAGCTGAGACACAACAGCTATATCTCTAAGACAGACAATTCCAGACTATAGCCCGCTGAGGTCTGTCACCTTGCATCTCTTTCCTTTTATGTCTGTATGTACAACCTTCTAAATGAGAATCATTCTTTGGGGCTTTATGAGGATAAGAATGACTACATTCCAAAATAGCAAAGTTAGAAGTATTGAGTTAAATTAAAAACCAGCTTCAGAACCAAATTAAATAACATAATTGCAGCTTTTAGCAAACAAAGGGATACAGAAATAGCTTAGTTGGTAAAGCACTTACCCCAGAACTTGTGTAAAAATGCCAACCACACCATAGTACATGTCTGTAATCTCAACACTGAGGAGGTAGAGATAGGAGGCTCCTTGAAGCTCACTGGCCAGCCAGTCAGCACTCATGGTGTGCTTCAGACCAATGAAAGATCCTGTCTTAAAGAAGGTTGATGGCTTGTCATGAAGACAACAAAGTTGTCTTCTGGTATACACATGTGCAATCTCTCACACATGAACACACATGTACATACACATACATATGAAATAAATGAAGAAGAAAGAGAAAGAAATTTGTTGCTAAATTTTAGAAGATTTTAAAAGGCAGATATTATTTCAGGTAGTGGATCAATATCATTGGATTAGAAAAGGCAATAAAAGAAAGGTTCAAATAACTCATCTGTACGAGATATTTCTAAACGTTCTTTGGGAGGTAAGAAAATAGAGCATATTCTTCATAAGGTAACTTCAGGTGCTTTTAATGAAAGATTGGTCAAAGAGTCAACATTATAAGCAAAATAAAGATGAAAAAGAATAGACATTGAGCAATGTGCTGGGATAGACCAAAGGCTAAATAAAAGGAGCATTGCATTTTCTTCCAGTAAATTTTCTCCATATTAATGGAGGGATGTACTCAAAACAACTTGAAACATGAACTTGCCAGTAGATATACTGTGCAATTGATATTTAGTATGCCACTAGATATTTTTCAGGGTATGCTAAAATTAATGGAATTTAAAAACTGTATGTCTTGTGGCTCCGTAAGTAAAATACCTGGCTCTCAGAATTAAATTAAAAAATTAAACCAACAACCAGTCAAAACATCTCCTGTTCTCTAGTTAGAAAGATATAAATCTGGACTGACACACCCATGTCCTGCAATCTGTTGAGCCAAGGGAAGATCTAATGCCCTCGACTGATAGGAACGGGACAACTGCCTCAGATCTTCCAGTGATGCTGCTTCAGAGAAGAGATGCTCACGCAGGTTCTAGTTCCAGTAGAGTTGGATAGCCAAAGAGAAAGGGCTGTCTGGTAGGTGATGGTCCTAGCTATTGTCACAGAAGGAGTTACCAGCTCCCCAAGGGAAAAGACAAGTGAGCTCGTCCAAAAGGAATTGTCCATGACTTTGATCCTGTGTGGACCATTATTCAGCAGCATCGTCATAGAAAGTGTAGCAGGAAGTGCCTCCTCTCTAGAGGTGCTTCATTTTATTGTGTGGGAAATGCACAACAAAGGTTTGTACTCATAAGTAGAACCACCCCCACCCCCACCCCTGTCAGTACAGAAGCAAAGACCAGCAAAGACAAGGATGCCCAATTCTCCCTGGAGAGAATGGAAGTAGTCAAGGAGAAAATGTTACTTTGTATTAAAAAAAAATGATTTTTCAGAGGCAGGTGTACTGTTCAGCTACTTGAAAAGCTAAAGGAAGACAATTATTTTAGCTCATTAAATGAGGCTAGCCTGGACAATACAGCAAGACCATTTCTTTAAGGGAAGTGTGTGTGTGTGTGTGTGTGTGTGTGTGTGTGTGTGTGTGTGTGTGTGTGTGTCTATGTGTGTGTGTGTGTGTGTGTGTTTCTACTTATCT